AAGTTCACCTGCTGCCTCTTCAGGGCAGGAGGCGAACGGGGCCGGCAAACCCTGCCCGGGATTTCTGTTTTTTTTCCCAAGAGCAATTCGCTAATTCGAGCGGGCTGCGGAGGCTGGGGCAGCTCCTGGGCGCGGGGAGATGGGGAGCGCTCGGCGCTTCCAAACTCAAGCCGCCTCCTGGTGCTTCAGGTTGGCTCCCAGACGAAGTACTGCTTTTTGAAAATAAGGCCTCGGCTGCCAAAGGAAAAGCAAAACACGCCAGATTTTCGTTTCGAAAGCTGTGTTACTGTGGGGCAGTCCCACGCTTGCCGATCCAAAAGCTTGCTGGGAAGAGGTGGTGGTGGTTCTTGGTTCGGAGAATAAACCGGTGCACCTAAAGCTAATAGCAAAGACAAGAGTTTGTGTGTCCTAAATGCTGATTGTCAGTTATTGTGATGTATAATTATAGTTAATAGCTATTACTCTCATTTAATTACATAGCATTAAAGGTGTGCGGCATGCTGCAGACTAACGAGGAGCACGGGGGCAGACGGTTCCAGTACAGCACGTTGAGTTTTTCAGCCCGCTGCTGGTTTCCTCTGGGGAACAAATCAGGCAGGTGGCCTAGGAATAGCCACCAGGCTCCAACACAAGCTCCGTTCCGGTTTCCCACAAAGGAGCTTGGCCAATGAAATATGGGCAGGCCCGACGTTTCCCTGTTTCTCAGCTTTCTCCAGCTGCTGGAAGAGACCGCTGGGTGTACACCCAAGTTGACTCTAGTTCATTATACAGGCTCCAGGCTGTTGCAATAAAGTCCCAGGATAAGATACCCCAAAAGGCTGTCTTGCATTTACAACAACAAGAAACACAAAAAAAAGCGTACGTTAGGTTTCAGCCCTGTAATGACCTTTTCATGGAAGAAGCCTTTGGTCAAGTGTGCAAACTTCAAGTCAGAGTCGAGGCCGTGGAACCGAGCCCTGCAAAGCCTTCTGAGTATGGCTGGTTCAGTACCTCGCCGGTAGCCGTTGTCAGCGTGACCCTTCCGGGCTGTAATACCTAGTCTTGCTCATGAATCCATGGCAAAGTGTGAAGTACTGTAAAAAAATGGTGATAAAAGCCAGATGGTGTCAGCCTTCCACTGCACGCTAGTTTGAGAATTTAAGATAATTAATTGGGATTACTGTTCGGGGGCACACTTTACCTTCTGCTCTCCCTTTTGTTCTAGTTACCGCTGCCTGGCCCTTCTGTACTGGAGGATGTTCCGACTCAAGAGAGACCATGCAGTCAAGTATTCGAAAGCGCTTATTGAGTATTTCAAGGTGCATTCTTTATTACATGTTTTCAAATCAGTGTGTCATTACAGGAAATACAGCTTCTTACTAAAACAATAGCTGTGCTGGGCTTAGTTCTTCCCCTGTGAAGTCAGTGGGAGTTTGACCATAGACTCCCATGGCAACCCTTATCTCTAGTCAGTTTTGTTGCCTTCACAAGGGCCTCTCTTTGCAAAATACACGTCATGTCCCTTCATGAGGGATGAGAAATTTAGAGTACTAACAAGCAGGTATTTTCAGATTATTCTCGGTCAATTGTCTAGTGCTGTCCAGCTCTGTTGTGAATAGGTTTTGCAGATTTTGCTCTAAGAATGTACTCCAGGATTACACTTCCCACTAGACTACCTGTGAGTTGAAGACTTTGATCTCGATCAGTCCTCAGCTGCAGGACTTCCCCTTAGCAGCATCGATAGGTAGGACAGTGCAGTGGGACATGTTCTTACGCAAGGAACTGGCAAACAGTCCACGCTGACTTCAGTGGGAGTTGTGTGACAGCATGGGAAGGCAACCACACTACCTGCCGGGTACTTGACACGGCACTGCTGGCTTCCCCTTCCTGCTTTGCTTCACCTGCTACTGCTTCCATTTTCCACTCTCTGCCAAGTCCAAACCCTGGTTATTTTTAATAAGACAAGAAGTCATTCAAAGTATTTTAATATATTTTATTTGACAGGCAACCTTTCTCTGGAAAGATCTCAAGAACAAAACCTTTCAGGTGGGGCTCACCTAGCAGTCAGTCAATCCAGCGTTTGATCCACAAACACAAAATTAGCCTTTATCTTTCTAATTAAAAAAAATGATATGAACATACAAGTGCTTTAAGACAAACTGCTCTGGGGGACTTGAACAGACATTTGTCTTTGAACACAGGGCTCATCTGTGGGGTTTTTTTTTTGCAGAGGGAGGTACCTTGAAATGAAGAACATCCATCCCTTGACATTTTGTTAATAAAAAATTTCAAATACAAGCACAAATGCTCATGACTAGATTCTGAACACATGAAGACAGTGAAGGAAATTGACAGTTCTGTTATTGTCAAACTGAAATTGAAGTCACTGTAATTGCTTCTAAAAATTTAGCAATATATAATTCAACACGTTATGTTTGTCTAACAATGGCTTGATTTCAGGGGAAAGAAATATGCACCTATTACAGTACTTTATTTTTCTTTACCAGTTCAGAGAATACCTGCATTAAGAACAGGATGGTCAGGCTCTCAACCATGTAAAATGTCTCCTACTAGCAGACAGAAACTGTTTCACAGCAAACATAAAATGGACTTATATTCTGCTATAGCCAAGATGAGCTTATTTTTTTGCAGACCTCCTGCTGATATAATGATGGCATAGTTTCACATTAGAAGTATTCTCACCTTTGAGAGTAAAAATTGGGAAAAAAAATCCATTTGCTGTAATTTTCAGTGGAAAACAAGCCAATTCTCCACTCATTTCATATTTGGTATCTAAAAGCTTTCACAACCAAGTGACGTGAAATGCTGACTGCATTAAGAACTTCCACATATATTATCAATCAAAGAAAGTTTTTAAACCTGGTCATACACATTTGCAGGGAAAATTAGACACACTTTTCTTTTAGAAAAGAAAAAATGATTGTTTAAATCTCCTTTTAAGTATTTTGTTTCCATTATAAAAAAATTAATGCAGCACAGAATTAAAAAGAAGCCACGGAAATTCAGGGGCGAGACACATTTGAGAGCATAAAGACATCAGGAGAATGGGTAGCAGTAAGCAAAATGGGATAAGAGATGGTCCCTTACAACATTACACGCCCTTTAGATTCCTTACCCCCACCTTTCTGGTGCAGAACTGAGAGGAGGCCGGAGTAATATGCCTAAAATGTGAGAAAAAAGGTGTGGGAAGTTGTACAGTAAGGCAGAGACTGGTTAAATTTACAGCGGAAATATCCTTGACTCCACTTCGATTTTCCTATTTTCCTGCCTCCAACTCTGTAAGTAAATAACATGTACTCAGTTTCCATTACAGTAGAAAGATGAAGGACAGTAGTTCTGAGACAGATCAGAAAAGAAAAGGGAAAAAAAAAAGAAACTATTCTGTAAGAGGAGCAAATGCTGAGGATTCCCAGGTTGGTTCTATTTAGGACGGTAAATGAGAACTTTCCATTTTTCCCTTTCACACCTTAGCCCTTCCTGCCAAAAAAAAAAAAAAAAAAAAAAAGAAAACCCATTGAAGGAAGAACTCCCTGTGGGACACTCCAAAGCTTATTTTTAATACCACTTACCTGGCATGTAAAAGGCCCAGTGTCAAAATGCAGGAAGAATGCCAGGGCACACAGAGCACTGATGTGATCGCTGCTAAAATACAGCCAGCGCTGGTGTGTGCACGAAGGATATGAGAACGCAAGAAGCAGTTTAGAGGATACATCAAAACTGAGAAAACGAACTTTTTGAAGAGAGACCCAGGAGATGTGTCCAGCTTACTGCAGCACAGGCTAAGAAAGTATTGTGTATATGGAAACAGAGCTGCTAATACCAGGTGACATGCAGTTTTGATGGCACTGGAGCAGCAAAATCCAAAACCTAGCACTGAAGTTAAGAAAATTCAGTCTTGAAACCCTGAAACAGAAATTGCTTTCCTAACTGTGAGGCCTGCTAAATGTTAGACACAGGACACAGGAGAACAGGGACGATAAATAGTGTCTTAAGATTTCTAATGACTAGCTATCCTTTTAAAAATAAAAAAAAAATTAAAAGTAATTTAGCTTTTGGTAAAAATTCCACGATAGGTGGAAAAGGGAAATGGCAGGCTGAGTGTCCTGGGAGATTACTCCTGGCCTTGAAACCCATGAAGCTCTGAAGCCCCTTGTTTATCATTTCTCCTTCCTAAACCATGGGAGACCAAGAGTGTTTGCACTGCTATTAAAGCTTGTAACCCCTGCAGCTTGCAACCCCTGCAGCCCTGCATTCAAACAATATCCATAAAGAGATCTCAAGCTGCAGGACTTCACTTGGTCTCCCGTGGTTGTCAAGAAGGGAGGGTTGTTCCCCAGCACACAATTCTCTGGATGTGTGGTTTCAGGGCAGGGTGCAAGGAGGTCGCTTTCCCCTGAAGAATTAGAAACTGGTCATTGAGGCTGCGGATGGGATGGACCAGAACAGTTTTGTTTCTTAGACTTCTGTTTCTTACATCCTTCTTTCTCACGGGCCCAGGATTAAACCAGTCACAGCATTTGGGACAGAAGAGGAGTTTTTCCACAGGTCAAATGGGCAGGAACCTGCCAGTAAATTCCCACCAGCTCTTGTAGATTAACTACTAAAATCATTTTAGCTATTCAGGTTCCATTATGGTGGACACTTGAATTTCTCCTGCTCTGTAAATGTAGTGCTTGTACAAGGTAGCCTTTCCTCAAGCAGTGAAATTCTTCAGCGTAAGCACAGCATACTCACAGTAACTAATGTGCCTTAATGACTGCAGATAGAGAAGACGTCACACTACCTGACCTAATGTCCCCTTCTGGGAGGGTCTGGGTAACCCTTCAGCTTGAAGAACCACCAATCTACAAGGGCAGTCTCTCTGGGCCTGTGAATGCTGCTGTGTTCAGACCAAGGGGAAGAGCCCCAAGAGGAGCAATCATGAGAGAGGTTCTCAAGCCTGGTGGGTAAAACACCCACCCAAGCTGAGGGAGCCTCAGATTCACATCCCTGTGGTCAGCCGGGCTGAGCACACTTGCACAGTCTCGCAGGTCCTAGCAGAATGACATTTGTCTTTGGGGGCAGGAGAGTGGGAGGAAATCCTTCTGGTTTTCTCTATCACAAGAAATTCCATGTTAATCTTCACAAAGAGCCTTGGCAGCACTCTATTCTGAACTCCCAGGATTTCTGTGAAAAGTTTCAGTTTCAACTAACATGTTTTCCTAATCAACCCCCATCCCAGGGTGTTCGATAGACTGTAATTTGAGTCTGTGCTGCAGCAGTGCTTCATCACAACACCAAACCAAAGGATGAGTGAGTTTATTGCATCATGAGACTTGAATACTTCTATCTGCACAATTTTTTCTTTACAATTCTTTACTTTTATACTGTATAATGGTCTTCATTTCATAGTCTTACATAAATTACATGCATTGTGAATTATCTTTTCCTTTACAGAATTCATCAAAAGCTGCCCAGAACCCATCTCCTTGGGGTGCCAGTGGCAAGTAAGTTCCCAGGTTGCACAGAAACTTACATCACATTGGCAGGCAGAAATTACATTTTCTTACCTGCAGTATGTTCTGATACTCTCATGTTTTTAATCCCAACACCCTTTTAAGTAACTGTATTAAGTATTAACATCTGTTTCCAGGAGCACAGGAACTCCATCACCCATGTCCCCTAGCCCTTCTCCAGTCAGCTCTGTAGGATCCCAGGGGAGCACAGGGGCCCCTTCCCCATCTCCTATCGTCAGCATCCCGCAGCGCATTCATCAGATGGCTGCCAACCACGTCAGCATCACCAACAGCATCCTGCACAGCTATGATTACTGGGAGATGGCTGACAACCTGGCCAAGGAAAACAGAGGTGCGTGAGCCAAGGCACAGGGCTATTCTAGAAGACTGTCACACGATTTTGATTAGGAACATAACTCTTTTGATAGGAATCCTGTCTGCAAAGTAGGACTGCAGAGGTGATTTTTTCTTCAGTCTGCTCCTAATCTGTTCCAAAACATCCCAAAAAGGCAATTTTGATAGCTGTCTCGCTCAGAAGCATCTTTTTTTTTTTTTTTTTTCTTTCTTTATTTGGCTGGTCAGGACTGGTGACAGACAGGTCACAGACATAGCTGTGGGTAGCATTCACTGCCATCTGTGTCATTCTGGAGACAAACGTTTGTGGGAGGCAAGGCAGCTTCCTGCCCCCCAAAGTCATGGAGCTGGGTGGGATGCATTTAGCCAGACCACGTCAAAAAGCAGGAACACGCTTCTTCTCTGCAGAAGGAATGAACAGCCCCTAGCTCTCCCCCCCATCCGAGCAGACAGAGGTGGGAATGAGGTGCCTTGCTCCCTCTTCAGCGCAAACATCTCTCAGCTGAAGAGGTGAACCTCATGGTTTCCATGAGCAAGTGCCTCAAATTCTGACTTGATGATAAAGTATTCCTTGGTTTTCAGGCTAATATATGTATTTAAGGCAGGGGCCTGGTCAGGATTCAAATCAAAACGAGGACACCTAAGTGTAGGTGTGTATATATGAGTTGGGGGGCTATTCCCCCATTGCAGTTGATGGTGCTTTGTTCAATACAAACAGCAGAGTCCAGAGGGCTGTTCAGTTCACCCTGAAGGGGACACAGGGATACAATTCAGTTGCCTAACCATAGCTGCCAAATGCCATCTGAGGTATCCTTGCCTACACTGCCACTTCAGAAGTCTCCTGTACATCCTGTGTTAGATCTGCCAGTCTGGGCTCTATATATCAGCTGCCTGAGGGCATCTCAGATGGTCACTACATGCCTCTAAGTAGGCAACTGAGTTTAGTCCTTAGTGGCTAGTTAGCCAAATTACTCTTTAGGCTGTGATGACCATGTTGTACAGGCCTCTATCTGTCTGTCACAGTAGCTTAGATATCTAGCATATGTATAGGCACTTGTGTGTAGACTTTTTGATTTAGTTGTCCTTAATCTCAAAATAAATCTTGCCCAGCATCTGTTTGCTTTATCAAGACTCAGTGGAAATTAATGAAAAGCAAAGCCGAAGAACTCACTGTTTTATTCTTTAAAAAGAAAATTGTTGTGCATCAGCCTGTAACATCATGAACCACAGGACTTTAAAATTAATCTTACCAGCACTAAACTTTCATTCCCATGAAATGTTCTACTTGACTCAATTTGCAAGAGAATAAAATCTGTTAAAGGGTGACAAGTAGCAAACACAGTTTCACTCTTCTGATGCTGGTTCTTTTTTTCCCTGTAGATTTTTTTAACGACTTGGATGCATTGATGGGACCTATCACCTTGCACAGCAGTATGGAGCATTTAGTTCAGTACACTCAGCAAGGACTTCACTGGGTGCGGAACAGCGTTCACTTGTTATAATGACTGTGTGCCATTCACATGGACAGTATACCTTTCATGGATAATTCAGTTATTCTGGACACTGTGCTACAGAAATAGTCAACCACAGCATTGATCCAAACAAAGGTGAATATTTCTTCAATATTGAGCAAAATTTTTCTGAGTGTAGACATGTATGTGTGCATATGTACAATATACAATGATGTCTCTTCAGAATGAATTGTTCGGTACCACTCTCCAAATATTTTCATACACTAGAAATATCAGAAAGAACTGATCTTAATGCACAAAACATACTCTTTCTATTCTTGTGCTGAAAAACTCAGAAACCAAAATCTCATGGGTTGATTGAACCAAGTGCAATAAGCACAGATCCCTATTCAGGAAAGCTCTCAATGGATTGTTAACTTTAAGCTTGTACTGAAATCCCGTTGACTTCAGCAGAGCTTAAGCACATACACAACGGCTTTCCTGGACTGGAATGAATGAGGGTAAATCATAGACATGGAGAACTTTTACTGCAAGCATGGACACATCACAGAAGTTTCAATATTAACGTGCCATCTCCCTGTTACTTCCCCACTGGAGCACACAGAGTAGTTGTGTAGTCCACATTAAGTTGTAGAAAGATGGCATCCTTTCATGTGCAATAAGTTTCAACAAATTGCATGCATTTCTTTATCTCCTGTCCTTTTAAATAACTTTACCTCTTGTTCAGCGTCTCACCAACAGTATAACCTACGGTATCAAGCAAAAAGCCTGAAAACAGATATGCTGATAGCAAGAACTTCAAAGAGATGGTGGAAAATTGCATTCTGTTACTGACAGTAAACAGATAAATGAAAAAATATGGCAAACTGCAATCCACTTAGAAAAGAAAATGTGTTAATTTCAGCTGCGTACACACAGAGAGACAGAGAGATATCTATACCAGTTGTTGGCTTTGCCTGGGAAGGCTTCATCCCACAGATTTTGATTTTCATATCTTTTTCATCTAGCAAAAGCTTGCAGCATTTTCTTCTCAGCTTTATGGGAGCATTACATGCTATTTCCTTTGTCTGGGAAGCTGAGTTTGCTCTTCATCAGGCTAAGAACTGTTTCCTATCATAATCCTCTCACTCTTCATGCATAATCTTCAACTAGGCTTTAACGTTTCTTGATTTATGGGATGTTTTCAGTTCCTGTTGACAGGCTGTGTTTTTTGTGCCAGAAGAATTAATCTGACAATAATTGGAGTTTAATTTGGGTCAGTTGAGGTCGAGGCCAGTTCATATCAGCTGTGCTTGCATTCAGTGCATTTTTATTCATTTTCAGTGTTTTTACATATTCAGTTTTCTTTTTTTTTTGTATCAGAAATGTAATTTTTTTGCAATCGGATTTGCAGCCTTTCCTCAAGTCGGCAGCTTCAATGGACTGTTTTTGTCCAAGTCACTGACCGGACCCTTTTGTTGTTGTTTTCTAATCTAATTTTTATGTTAAGGAAATGTGAGTGCAAAAGACTCTTTCAATACAAGATACAAGTAGAGGTAGCCACTGATATTGATAATTGATCAATTGGTCCTTGCTGCTTTTTTTTTTTTCCTCACCCATTTTTGAAGAGCTGCATTTTGAAGAAAAGATACGAAACAATGCGTCACGTTTTCTCAGCCAAACGTCCTTGGTAACACAGGCTGTACTTACCCTGCAGTAAAGGGGGGGTTTGAGAGCGCACTGAGCCCCACGTACCTGCATTTTTCAGTCTGCTGACCAGAACTCCAGCTATTGCTCAGACTCAGAGCGTTCACCCTCTTCTCTGAAGCAGCGCAGCAGGGTAGCTACCGAGGGACTGCTCAGCCCCAAGCCATCCTCGGACGATATTTATGTGCCCATTGGTGCTCAGATACTTCCCCCCGAGAGAAGTCCTGAGCTCAGGCTGCGGTCACCTCTTGGCACAGACTTGAGCATTATAGCGTGCCTGGCTTTAAGAGTGAACACAGACCTGCCTTTAAGTGACAAAATACACATCCTCCGAGTCCTTCCTGTTACTCTTAACTCTGGCTGTTACCCACCCCAGAAGGAACGCGATTTGTTTGGTCACAAGGATGGTGGAGAACTTGATCGGTGCCTTTCTGTTTATCACTTGCTTGATCTCCAGCTGTGGAATTCTGTCGTGATTTATTAGACTAGTCAGCTGCTTCAATACCGTATGAAGGTACTGTGGGATTTCTCCGCAGATCAGGAAAGTGAAACTCCAACTAGATTAGCTTCTGTTTTCTTTGACAGTGCCTATGATGTTTATCTTCAGATAAGTTTGGGGGGTTGGGAGCCTTTACTGCTATTTAATGTTGAGAAATTTTAGAAGTGACATATATTACTTGCCTTAAATGGAGTTTAGTTTTATTGCACATGTGGCATTTGAGTTTCAAGTATGGAACTTTGAAGCATGTTTATTTTACTAAGATCGGGATATTTTTCTTAATCACGATGAACTCTTTGTATGGATGTAATGTGACAAGAAACTTCAAAGAAATGCAAGAATTGATGCTGTCCTGTTGTAACATTTCCAAGTACTAAGGATCTCTTGTAGATGATTGTCCTTTCTTGTACATTGTTCTTATATTGAATTATTCCAGCTAAAATACCCATTGCTTCCATGGAAAAACACACTGTTTTTTTAGTTTTTGTGCTGGCATCGTCTGTGTTGTCTGATGAGCACATTGAGCCTTAACTTCTGGTAGTGTAACAGGATGAAATAGCAGCCATTTAAACCAACTAGACATATAAATGGATTAGAGGGTTTGGCCTTCTCTCCATAGGTTTTCTTGCAGCTATACCATTTTGCTGAGGTTATTTAGTGCAGACTGTTTGCTGTGTATGGTTGCTGCTGTTTAGATGACTGAATGTGGCACGGTGACAACAAACACTTCATTTCATCTTCTTAGTCCCTGGTCTGGAAAAGTGCATATGGCTTTCACATCTGGTCCAATTAAGCCTATGTTCCACGTTAAGAACCTGAACAGTCATAGGCACATCACCATGAGTCGAAGGTGCTCCATGTGTTCTGGGTAGGACCAGCAGAGATCGTCCTTCTTTGGGGTTCCACAACAGACGCTTACTTCTTGTAATCTGTTGTAAAAGTCCAGGAACATGCAGGCTTCTTTATGCCATAGCAATGTTCAGGTTCATTTTGTGAAATTAAGAAGTCATTCTGTACAAATCCAGGAGGGTTATGCCTGGAGGGAGACCTGGAGGGAGAGGTTTGCTTACAAACAGAGGCTTCTGAATCAGTTAGGGTTGGTAAAGCAATGGGGATGCATGCAAAGGAACCATGTATTGCTGGTGGATGCAACAAATGCAGAGCAGCCTGTAGGAACCTCACAGACAGCAAGTGCATACAGACCCCTTGGCCTTAATGCTTTATAGTATTCCATGGTGGCATGAATGACAGGTAAGATCAAGGGATATGCAGAGGTTCAAGTGTGGCCAAAAGCCAAGCGTAGTCCTCTCTGTCGCATGGCAGGGTACCCCCACTCCTTGTTTGCCTATTTCTTTTATCCAAATATCACAGGGCTCCAAAGGAGGATATTATAGTGAACGGAGGACCTTAGATAAAGGAGGTTAAGAAGATCAAGCCCTAAGTGTAGATACAAACATATGTATATACTGTAAATCTAAATAGTAATAAAAGTCATTCAGCATGAAGGATATTACTAGTGCCTACCATTGATCATCAAGTACTCACCACTGAGCAGCCATATCACCTCAGAAGTGCAGTAGCTGTTATCAAAATAATTTGTACAGCTAATTAATTTATAAGAAATGCACCTTTGGGTCTGTGCCATGGTATCTCTTTTGTAATACAAATGTTCAGCCATTTTTCATGGCTACTGATTCAAATCTACATCACTGAAATGTCAGGATATCTTTTTTCCCCTAGATGAGGACATATACTTAGACCTGGCTAATCTGTGCTTAGTTTATCTACCCAAGAGACTTTAGTAGTCACCAGCCTTAACGCATGTACAGTGTATACTATTCACTGACTTAGTTGTAGGTTTTAATCCAAATGAAATTGGAATTTGCAAAATTACTTGGATTAATGGCATCTGCCTCAGATATCCTGCAGATGTGACATTAAATGATTCATGATTTTAAGCAGGAAAGGTTGAATTTTGTGTAAATAACAGTGAATGAATTCCTTGATCTTTTTACAAGAAGATTTTTTTTTAATTAAAACATTGTCAAAGCAATAGGTTTTTTAACCCTCCTAAATTTTCTGGAGGGTCATGGGTTCCTGGTCAAAGCTCTATTAAGAACATCTCCTTCTGCAATATGCCTTGCCTTTACATAATCCTCTTAATGCTTAATATGTCAGAAAGAAATGTTTCTTTTTCACAGCAACAGCAACATTTCCCTCCCCCATTCTGGGAGGACCCTCAAACTGTAGAATAAAATCTCCTGGCACAACAGAAATACAAACAATGCCTGAAGAATATGGACTTGTTAGACAAAAATAGAAGTTCGGCTGGCGCAGACCTAACGTGCCTCTTATTTTGGTATCTTTTTGTTAGCATTTACATCACATATTTCAACTCATTGTGTTTGAAACTAGAGAATTAGTCTGATTTTCCTGTCTTAAAAAGGCCTGGTGGGTCTGATCACTATCATAATTATAATTGTTGCATTAGCTTATGTGCTGTGCACCGAGGACTGGGAAGGCGTGTAACTGTAGATAAATTTGTCAGAATGCATTCAGAAAAGCATTTAGATGATCTTATGTCTAGTCTGTCTTAAAAACTGAAGAACAATGTCTCTCCCCCAATATTGCTAGCATGAAAATTTGGCTTCTTTCATGTCTCTCATAAAACTGCCATTTGCCTTCGGTAAGGCCAAGACTCCATTTCCAGTGTAACTGGTTGCCATGCTGTAAATTGTTCTTAAGGCTAATTAACGAACTGGGAAAGTCACCTTAGGCCCTGTTTGTGCTTACCTCACTGAAGCTACATAGAGGAAAAACACTAAGATTTGGAGCATCCAAGGCTCCGTCATTCTTTCAAAGGACTATGGTTTTCCCCAGTGAGATGGGCGGGATTCAGCTGGGGCTATTTCTTCAAGTAATTCCTCTGCCTCCGCTGGCTGTCTGGCTCTATTGCCCTTGGTACTCCACAAGTACACCCGCACTTTCAGGAGCATTTTCTATTTTGGCAGCCCGAGCTGCCTTTTAAACGAGATGCTGGAGCATGGAGCAAGTAACCCACCGGTTGCATAAAGGGCCTTGCTTTCTCCCACAAAACCAGCAGCAAATACAGCAAAGGCTCCCTCTCTTTTCCGATCTGTGTAGCGTGAGTCTCACACTGTAGCTTGAATCCCAGCCTCATCCCTGATGCCCTTGAAGGACTCCAGAGGGTCCAAGAAAAACAAGAGAATGACAAAAAGATGGGGATTTCCTCTGTCCCTAGGCACATACTCCTTTTTGGGAGCGAATATAGAGAACAGCATGGATCATAAGGCGCTCAGGTCTCATGTTTCTCGTATGTACTAACACAGAGATGCTTAACACTTATCTGCCTCATAGGGCTTTATGAGAATTAATTAATGTTTGCAAATCACTTTGTATCCTCGGAAGGAAAGTGCTGTAGAAGA